GTCTTCTTCATTTAATTTACATTGAGCCTCAATTTGAGCAGTCTGTAAAATAAATAGTCTCTCTAATTTCTCAAACTGACTTTGAGAAATATGCCCCGACGGTATCAAAAAGGAAGGAATTGAACTGGCGGTACGTGGATATTCCTTTGGACGTGCACCCTGGTGAGTGACAGACTGACCATTAATAGGAATTCCTTCAGTAACGGGCGAATGCAGAACAGCGGCTGCACCCTGCAATACTTCATCTACTTTACTAGAAGCCAAAGCGGGACCTGATCTATCGGGTTCAATTTCAAGATCAACTCCTTGAAATTGTTCTTCTAACACTTCGAATCTCGACTGGTAGCTTACTTGAGAAACTAAACTTTCAGAGTAAGAATCTGCTACATAATCGTTAGAGGCCCCCGGAAACAATTTGTTTCTAATTATTGCCCTTACGGTATTGGCTGTGTAATATCTGTCGTATGGTACTCCCAATTTACGGGCTATCTGCCAGCACGTTTGAAGTTTCAAGGAGTCCAGCTTTGACAATGTTAAATCTTCAAATAAATGTTTAATGTGATCTTCCATGATAAAAATTTTGAAATTAACTAAAGATAAATTCCTAGTATATAACTTTAATATTGTTCTTTTGATAAATGTCTTAGAACAACAGAGATCCCAGACAGGTGCCCCATTTGTTGCGAATAAGAAATTTTATAAAGAACTTCAGAATGTGGTCTGTTACTATTTTCTTCATAGGCAACAAGATTTTGGATCAGAGTTAGTTAAAGGTATTTTAGAGTCTAGGGGAAATAATTTCAACTGGGAAACTCCATAGAATAAAATTCAAATTTATTAAAGTATTTAAATACAATACTTTATCTTTTCTCTGTACCTAATATTATATCTTAATACTTTGTACAATAAATTTACAATATACATATTTAGTTCAAAATCATGGAAGTATCACCTTAATAAGGAAGATTAATTTTTCTTTCTGTAATTAAGTCTTCACTAACATTTACGTCTTTGTCTTAACAAGACTGTGTAAACTCAAACTACAAAATGTACAAGATTCAACAAGACCTTTGAATCTGGCCGTAAAGGAAGTAGAAGGCAAGAGTTTGCCTGAGAAGACGTATCTCTATGGATTACTGAACTGACCAAGAATATAAATATCCAAACAATCTTTCAGAGCAATGAGGAACAAACTGAGTCAGCTCTAGAGACTAATTCTCAAACCCATTCAAAATGTATACTCCTAAGAGAGAACCAATATACGATCAGTTGTCAAGGCTAGAACAGGGAGCGGACTGACTACCTGCCAGTCTGTTGACCCGTCGTCAGGTTGGATCACCTGACCCAAACGTCAGTCAGCCGGACATAAACAATTGAACAATTCACCGGATGGTTCCGAGACTTATGCTCTATATACATAAGAAAACCTACCTAACAACAACAATAATAATAATAATAATAATAATAATAATAATAATAATAATAATAATAATAATAATAAAATAGGGATAATACCATGGTATTTTTTATATTTTAACAGATAATAATATAACGCCGAAAGTCTCTATTCTAGCTATAAACGGGGACTTTCGCGCTATAATATTAAGTGATGATCATATTCTCTTACAATAGTTAAATAACACAGGATGACCAATTTCCAGGATATAACAAAGATGTAAACTAGAAAGAGACACACACTCCCTCTACAGGTGAAGGCAAAGAATCACAGAGCTCCTCAAAGGTGCCAGTCTATCTGAAATATAGGAGGCACTGGCCAAAGAAATAGAAGATATCAAACTTAAGTTTAAGGAATTATACAGGAGCCAAGAAATTCTGGAAGGACTTGAAGCTATAAATGGAATTGAAAAAAATAAAACAAAGGTACATGTATTTTTTTTCTTACACCAAATCTAGAGCAAAAACCACATCCACTATTGAGCCCCTGCTTAAATGAGATGGGACAAACACAGATGACAGCAAAGAAATGAGTGAGATACTGAAGTCTCAATATGACTCAGTGTTTAGTGAACTGTTAATCAGACCAAGGGTCAACAATCTAAGTGAATTTTTTATGACCAACTCAAAATTTGGTTTCTTCAAGAATTTCTGATATAATCCTAACACCACAGGACTTTGAAAAATCAATAAATGACATGCCCCAGGTCCAGACTCATGGAACTCTGTGTTCACCAAGAACTGCAAGAAATCCCTTTCACATGCCTTAAATATTCTATGGAGAGAGAGCATAGACACAGGGGTCATCCTAGTCACTAAAAGCAACAGATATAGCCCTTCCACAAAGGTGGCAGGCAGTAAAGCAATTTCAAAGAATTACAAACCAAGAGCACTAATGTCCCACATCATAAAAATCTTTGAAAGGGTTCTAAGAGACCAGATCACCAACCACTTGGATACCCAATAATTGCATAACCCAGGGCAGCATGGGTTTAGAGCAGGTCATTCCTGTCTCTCACAACTACTGGACCACTATGACATGGTCTTGGATGCACTGGAGGACAAACAAAATGCATATGTGGAATACACAAACTTTGCAAATGTCTTTAACAATTGTGATCATGGTGTAACAGCAAACAAAATGCATGATAAAGGAATAACAGGAAAAGTGGGTAGATGGATCTATAAGTTCCTGACAAATAGACCACAAAGAGTAACAGTAAAAAGTAAAAAGCTCTGTTCCACAAGGTACATTACTTGCTCCCATCCTTTTCCTCATCCTCATATTTGACATAGACAGAGATGTAAGCCACAGTTTACAGTCTGGTATCATCAGCATAGCTGATGACACCAGAATTTGCATTGAGGACACTGCAATTCTCCAAGCGAACATTAATCAAGTCTTTAATGGGCCTCAGAAAACAATATGAACTTCAACGAAGACAAATTTCAATTACTCCGCTATGGAAAACTCGAGGAAATAACTGGATCAAATTTTAAAACAAATACAGTACGTATAGTAAAAAGCTAACATGAAGGACCTAGGAGTGACAATGTCGGAGAATTTTATTTTCAAAGATCACAACAATGTCTCTATCACATCTGCTAGGATAATGATAGGATGGATAAAGAGAACCTTCAAAACTAGGGATGCCAAACCAATGATGATTCTCTTCAAATTGCTTGCTCTCTCTAGGCTAGAGTAATGTTGTACACTAACAGCCCCTTTCAAGGCAGGTGAAACTGCAGATCTGGAGAATATACAGAGAACTTTCACTGCATGTTTAAGTACAATAAGACACCTAAATTACTGGTGAGAAAGATTCATGATAATTTACACTTGGAAAATCTTAGAGGGACTAGTCCCAAATCTGCACACAGAAATCGCTCCCTACAAGAGCAAAAGATTCGGCAGGTAGTGTAACTTCCCCCCCCCCCAATGAAAAGCAGGGATGCCATGATTACAGTAAGAGACAAGTGTCAGGGGCCCAAAACTGTTCAACTGCCTCCCAGCATATATAAGGGGATTACAAACAGACCCTTGGCTGTCCTCAAGGAGGAGCTGGACAGGCACCTAAAGTGAGTAACCAACCAGGCTGTGGTTCATACATCAATCAGCAGTAACAGCCTGGTTGATCAGGCTCTGATCCTGATCCACCACGAAGCCTGGTCATGGACTGGGCTGCAGGGCGTTGATCCCCGAAACACCCTCCAGGTAAACTCCAGGTATACATGGTACAGTCAAATGTCGCTCTGTTGTAGTGTACATGGATTAATTCATAGGAGAAATTTTTCACTCATTATTCGTCCATCCCAAGCAAAGAAACAGATTGAAGACACTCCCAGCAACTCAGTCTTTGTTTTAGTTAGCCATAAGCTATGAGGATCAGCTCCAAGTGCTACACTTATACTTCAGATTTCTCTACCAAGACATGCAGCATTCTGAATTTTGCTGTAAATAATGGTAGGTGGCTGCATGCTGCAACAAGTGTTATAGCTAAAACTGGATTTACTTTCTTAATGTAATAGAGTAAAAAAACTGTGTGGAAACAGGGTATGCAGCAGCAGTGCATGGCATTGGCTGCATGCCATCACTCACCTATTTTTCCCACCAAGCCACAGCATGATTAGAAAGATGCATGCAGTTGCATGAAAGCTTTAGTGATCACTTTTAATCCATGCAAGTCACAAAGATACACTGGGAAGGGCAGGGTAGGCATATATATATAACAGAGAGCCTGGAGTGAAGAGTGTCCAGTCTAAGCAGTTGCTAACTGTCCCAGAAGTTTCCTGGACAGAGGTACTGTTAAACTGTAGAAACCATTATTCTGAGTAAAGTTGTTCAAAATACTGATCAGGGCTAATTCACGACACTTTTCAATCTCAATTCCCTTGGCAATCAATTATCCTCTATTCCAACTTATCAAAAGATTGTGGGCTGTGGTTCATATGGCAGTTTATGTCCGACCAGCAGTAACAGCCTGGATGATTAGGCCTTGATCTAACGCAAGGCCTGGTCAAGGACTGGGCTGCAGGGGTGTTGACCCCTGGAACACCCTCCAGGTAGGTATACTCTGCGAGGACACATACAAGTACATATTTTCAGGCATACCTTGATAACATACAGCAGCATGTAACTATAAATGACACTTCTTCATGTACCCTACTGATGAATTTTGGTCTCCCCTAAGGTAACATTCTGGGGTCCTCTTCTTTGCCTCATCTATATTAATGACCTATCAAATGCTGCAATTTACAGTCCCCACCTTACCCTTTATAACCAGTTTTCTGACAATTATGTTGCCTATCTAAAAAAAATGTAGAGTGTTATCTAGTTTTTGTGAAAAGAGGACAAGATTAAGAACAGTGTCACAAGCAAATTTTCATACTTTTGTATAATTCAGAAGTCTGTGTGCTCTTTGCTGATAAAACAACCTTTATATTATGAGCTCAGACCCTTTGATTACCAATAAACATCAATAAAATCACCCCTAATAATTGAAAATATCCTAAATTAAACAGCAGGCTCTTTCATAGATACTTACCTCTGTGCTAACTTTGCTTGAAACTCCATAGCATTGTTAGCATTCATGGCTTCCTGAACTTGTTTGAGAACTAGACTTGAATTTTCTGGCCTGGCTTTGATCATGGGAACCTCTTCTACAGCTTCTCGTTTGTTTGTTCCTGATGACTTAACAAATGTTGATAAATTTAAAAAACTTTTGCTTTTTTCCTTTAAAATGTACTACAACAAAACTTTTGCTTATTATATACAGGTTGACAGCGAGAGATAGCATTACAATTTCCTATGATACTACAACACTATTTTTATATGTACATCCATAATACCACATTTTGAACAAAATAAATACTCTTTCTGTGATTGGCTCAATGAACCATTTACATAACAGAAATTACGTATCAACTTTTTACCTTTAAAACACCAGATTTAAACCTACTTACCACTTTTCACTGTTACATTTCCTTCTCTCATCCATCTAAATTAATTCCTTTTTTTATTCACCTATATAATCTGGGTCCTGTGGCTAAAGCAACCATTAGTGGTATCAGAAATGAGACAGCTGACATAGGTTTTTAAATGGAGGGTTGTGAACTTATCCAGAGTCCAAGCAGCATTCATACTCGTGTACTTATTATCATTATACAGTATTTCTACCCTTAAAGAATTATAACTAAAACAGTCAATACAGTTTTGCATTATTATCTCTTTCATATTAACACTGCTGTTTTAATATACAGTGTTTTATTACTGAAAATAATCCTTACATTCAACAATTTTATCTTTGGACAACTTATTTATATTAAACTTGGCATTCAACTAACTTAAGCTGTACATGTACATTGTGGTGACCCACTCTGGTACACCCCGTAAAAAAAATTAAAGATCACATAATAAGATAAGATGGCAGGTTGTCCACACCCATAGAAAAAATAATCAATCACTACTCAGCAGCATCCAAGGATAGGTCTAGTTTCTTCACATTACCCATCTATGTTTGTACTGTATATAAAATCTTAATAAATTTGTCATTATCTCACCATTTACCTGGATCTTATTAGAATTTAAAATTTTTAAAGCTGTGTATTGTGTGTGTGTACTCACCTGTCTGCGATTGCAGGAGTTGAGTCAGAACTCCTGGTGTGTTGTGTGCATATGTGTGTGTTTCAAGTGAAAAAATAAACAAATTAACTACAGTGGACCCTTGGTTATCAGCCATAATCTGTTCCAAAAGGTCGGCCGAAAACCAAAATGGCCGAAAATCAAAATAATATTTCCCATAAGAATTAATGGAAATACAGTTAATCCATTCCAGACAAAAATATTCACACACAAAAAAAAAAAAAATTTTAACAATTATATAAATATTACATACCTTTATTGAAGACTAATGCTGGCTTCTGGAAGATAGGGAGGAGGAAAGAGGAAGGGCTTAGCGTTTGGAAGGGAAATCCCCCTCTAAGTCCTTATCCGGGGTTACTTCCCTTTTTGGTCTTCTAATGCCACTAGGACCAGCTTGAGAGTCATTGGACCCTTGTCTCACAAAATAACTGTCCAGAGTGCTCTGTTTCTGGCATCTCTTTAAGATTTCCCTGAAGTGGGATAGGGTTTTGTCACTAAACATGTTGCAGATATGGCGTGTTTCAGCTTTGTCAGGGTGGTACTTCTTGACAAAACTTTGCACATCATTCCACTTTGCACAATTGTCCTTAATCAATGAAGAAGGTACCTCCTTCACTCCCTCTTCCTCCTCCTCTGAAGCAAGTTCCTCAGCTGCAGTCTGTTGCTGATTGAGTTGAAGCTCTTGCAGCTCTTCAGTGGTTAGCTCTTCCCTGTGGTCTTCCACCAAATCTTCCACATCCTCGCCACTCACCTCCAACCCCAGGGACTTCCCCAGTGCCACAATAGAGTCCACAGGGTCGGCAGGGTCTGGGTCAGCCTCAAACCCTTTAAAATCCCTCTCTTGGACACAATCTTGAGGTTCGAATCCTTCAACCTTTACATAGTCCTGGAATTCGTGAACATACTTTTCAGCTGCACATTTGTCAGAACTTGCAGCCTCACCGTGCCTTACAACACTGTGTATGCCACTACGCTTCTTAAATCTATCAACCATCCTTTGCTGGCCCTAAATTCACAAACTGCAGCACTTGTTCCAGGCATTTTCTTTGCAACATCCTCATGCAACTGCCTTGCCTTCTCACAAATAATCAACTCCATAACACTGTCTCCCACTAATTCTTTTTCCTTAATCCACAATAATAATAACTTTTCCATCTCTTCCATTATTGGTGGCCTTTGTTTAGTTAGAAAAATTACTCCTTTTGCAACATTAGCATCCTTGATTTGTTCTTTCTTTGCCAGGATGGATGTAATTGTTGATTTATTCTTGCTGTACATCCTGGCAAGTTCCAGCACCCTCATACCACTCTCATATTTTTCAATCACTTCAAGCTTAAATTCCATGGTGTTTCTCACTTTCTTTACCACAGGAACATTCTTTGGAGCCATGGTTATTTATTTCACAGTTGCACTGCAAAAATAACACAAACTACAATGAGAAATAAGCGAAATGTTTGGATGTATGAGCAGAAGCTTCCTCAGCCACCGAGAGACACAGCCAAACTGACGCGCAAGCGGCTCCAGCCGGTGGACGGATGCGTCCCAAATGGCTGATCACCAAATTAACGGCCAATAACCGGGCGCCAAAAAACCGGCTGATCACCGTGTTGGCCAATAACCGGGGGTCCACTGTATTTTAAAAAAAAAAAAAGTCACGAAGAAAGCTCCCACCCCTAAGCAGGATACAGGTGGTTGCTAAACATAACCATTATTTACTAGTATATCCTTGTTCAGTGGACAAACTAATGTTAAGCAAAAAGTTGCTAACTGGGAGATTTCTGTATAAATTTGGTATCCACATGTTTACTCTTCATGAACCAACAGAGCTCATTCCTCATAAAAGTTGAATGAATACAATTCAGGTATTCCTTACAACATGCAGTTGCTTTGTAAGCTAATTCACTTTTATGAAATGGCCACATTCCTACCAGTAATTCTCTTAATGACAAAAATTCACTCTTTATGCAAAAATTCACTCAGTGCAATTTGCACAGCATAAATGTAGGTGGATGCTTTGAGCTTTCTGGTGCCTAATGAGTCATGACAGGTCACAAACTGCTATTAATGCTTCTTTGTTTTTAACCAGATGCATGTCTTTTTTTTTTGGGCACATGATCATTTTATATATACTAGTATATGTATTGGGTTCTCTCTATGCAATTTTGTTGCATGCACCACAGACCTAGAACACATCTATAGGGTAAGGTATTCCTGCACAGTATATGTATAAAAAGTTATTCATTTCCTCTGAAAAATATTAACAATGAGATGAAATGCAAAACTGACAATGCATTAAAACTTGCTTTTACATTTTAATTTTTTACTTTATTTTGGTAAAATATAAAAAAATTACAACCAATGATTTACTATAATTTGATAGGCATATTGGCTCATAATAAAGTATAATGACCCATGAGGAAAAAAAAGTAAAAAAAAAAGAAAAAAAAAAAATCTTTTTAAGTCTATTTACAACATTCAAAAAAATTTATATGCTTCATTTTTTCTGAAATCAATCACTGTATATATTAAATATATAGAATGGTCATGAAAGATGAATTATGATACACAGTTGTCTTACCTTAGTGGAGCCTCCAAAAAGAAAGCCTTTCTTCATTCCACAAAAATTTGATGAAGATTTTGGCACTGACTTTTGTAAATCTTTAGTAGTATTCACTTTCTTCTCTGTAACCTCATGTTTTGAAACTTTTTCAGTGTCTTTGAAGGCTTCCTTCATCTGCCTTGTTTTTTCTACTCTCTCTAAAACCTCTGGTATATCCTCCAGTGGGGGTACTAATTATAAATTAAAATTAGGCTACAGGTACATGAGTATCTAAACCATGTAGAAAGCATTGCCATTACTGTTGTCTCCCAACAGGGTAGGGTGAGCCCCCTCCCCTCAAAAAAAAAGAAAAAAAAATCACATTCACCATCATTCATTTAATAAAGTTGGTAGAATTACCGACAATATGTAAAGTAAAAGGACACAAGTGCAACTAATGTGACATTTTATTGTGGCAGCGTTTCACTCTCCAGGAGCTTTATCAAGCTTGATAAAGCTCCTGGAGAGCGAAACGTTGCCACAATAAAATGTCACATTAGTTGCACTTGTGTCCTTTTACTTTACATCATTCATTTAATAGCTATTTTTCCAAATGCACATAAACATCACAATTCAAATGGATCTGCAAACTGCAACATTCCTACCCCTGCTTCAGAGTAAAGGCACTGTATGTCCCACCTCAAGGAATCAAGTATGATTGGCCAGTTTCTCTTAATCCCTTCATGAACGTTACCTTGTTTACACATCAACAGCACATCAATTCATCAAGACAGAATTCTACCTTTTGTCTCCACTCACCCCACTCTAACACACTTGCTAAAGCCTGCTGGATGCTCAACCCCTGGTACTCAAAACTTTCTTTACCCCCTTCCCTCCACCCTTTCCTAGGACAACCCCTACCCCTCCTTCCTTTCACCCAAAATTTATGCTACACCATCTTCTAATTTCTACACTCAGAATTTTCTGCATAATACTCACACCACATACTGCTCTCAAATAAAACATCTCCAATACCTATAGTCCACTTCCTGCTGCAATGTTTAAAGACCATGCCTCACCCATATAAGAATACTGGTATAACTATACTCTTGCTATATTTTCATTTTTTCCTCCACAACTTTTTTTCTCCAGATATATCTGTTCTATGAGTCATCTCATCTTGCATACACTCATCTGCCACCATATAATCTTTTGAAGATATAGCATTTACTGTTAATACTTTAATTTCATAATTTAATTTAATTTCCTAATTTCCTAATTTCATAAATATGCAAGATTACAGGTATGTCTTGCTACATCTACTTACACTTAGGTCACACTACACATACATGTACACATTTATTTATACACACTCATCTGAGTTTTTTTTATTTTATCTTAATAGTTCTTGGTCTTATTACTTTTCCTTGTATATCCATGGGGAAGTGGAATAAGAATCTTCCCTCCATAAGCCATGCATGCTGTAAAAGTCAACAAAAATGCCGGGAACAATGAGCTAGTAGCCCCTTTTCCTGTAAAGATTACTAAAAAGAGTAAGAAGAAAATTGTCAAAGTGGGAAGTCTGAATGTGCGTGGATGTTGTGCAAATGATAAGAAAGAGATGATTGTGGATGTTATGAATGAGAAGAAGCTGGATGTCCTGGCTTTAAGTGAAACAAAGCTGAAGGGAGTGGGAGAGTTTCAGTGGAGAGGAATAAATGGGATTAGATCAGGGGTTTCAAATAGAGTTAGAAAAAAAAAATAGTAGTAAATGCTAGGGTGTTCGGGAGAGAGGTGGGATTAAATTATGGGGAATCATATACAAAATGGGAATTGACACAGTTGCTTTTTGCTGATGATGCTGTGCTTATGGGAGATTCTAAAGAAAAATTGCAAAGGTTAGTGGATGAGTTTGGGAGTGTGTGTAAAGGTAGAAAGTTGAAAGCGAACATAGAAAAGAGTAAGGTGATGAGGGTATCAAATGATTTAGATAAAGAAAAATTGGATATCAAATTGGGGAGGAGGAGTATGGAAGAAGTGAATGTTTTCAGATACTTGGGAGTTGAAGTGTCGGTGGATGAATTTATGAAGGATGAGGTTAATCATACAATTGATGAGGGAAAAAAGGTGAGTGGTGCGTTGAGGTATATGTGGAGTCAAAAAACGTTATCTATGGAGGCAAAGAAGGGAATGTATGAAAGTATAGTAGTACCAACACTCTTATATGGGTGTGAAGCTTGGGTTGTGAATGCAGCAGCGAGGAGGCGGTTGGAGGCAGTGGAGATGTCCTGTCTAGGGCAATGTGTGGTGTAAATATTATGCAGAAAATTAGGAGTGTGGAAATTAGGAGAAGGTGTGGAGTTAATAAAAGTATTAGTCAGAGGGCTGAAGAGGGGTTGTTGAGGTAGTTTGGTCATTTAGAGAGAATGGATCAAAGTAAAATGACATGAAGAGCATTTAAATCTGTAGGAGAAGGAAGGCTGGGTAGGGGTCATCCTCGAAAAGGTTGGAAGGAAGGGATAAGGGAGGTTTTGTGGGCGAGGGGCTTGGATTTCCAACAGGCGTGCATGAGCGTGTTAGATAGGAGTGAATGGAGACGAATGGTATTTGGGACCTGACGATCTGTTGGAGTGTGAGCAGGGTAATATTTAGCGAAGGGATTCAGGGAAACTGGTTATTTTTATATAGCCGGACTTGAGTCCTGGAAATGGGAAGTACAATGCCTGCACTCTAAAGGAGGGGTTTCGGGATACTAGCAGTTTGGAGGGATATGTTGTGTATCTTTATACGTATATGCTTCTAAACTGTCGTGTTCTGAGCACCTCTGCAAAAACAGTGATTATGTGTGAGTGAGGTGAAAGTGTTGAATGATCATGAAAGTATTTTCTTTTTGGGGATTTTCTTTCTTTTTGGGTCACCCTGCCTCGGTGAGAGACTGCCGACTTGTTGAAAAAAAAAAAAAAAACTTTAATTTCCTTCATACTTCCTCCAATCTGACTGTTATTGTTACTAAATTATATTCATGGAAAGTACTAAACCTGCGTGGTCAGAAACCAATGAATTTTGTCCATTGCTTCTGCAGGAATATATCCAGCGGATTTTGTTCCATATTTCTTAAGTCTGTTATCTCGACACTCATTATACTGAGAGTTTACTGTGGTTATATTCTTAAAAATTTGAGTGATTATTAAAAACATGTTATTCGCACTGATAATTTAATAGGTAAATAAAGGTTAGAGCCCCATAATCAAAAATATAAGAACTAAAATAAATATATTATAGCATGGCAAGTAAAATATTGACAGGTCTCAAACATCTATATAATTATAAAAGATTGGAATAAGATGATTAATCATATCAAACTCAGTAAAACTAACGTAAATCAGCTCAAAACTAAAACTAAGGAATACAAAGAAGACAACTTTTTTTGGATAAATAACCTGAAAGGTTAGTAACCATTAAAACCCAATAATTTAACTATGTCTGGTTAATTTACATTAGGTTCTTTTGTCCTCTTTCCCAGGATGTGACCCACAGCAGTCGTCTGAAACTCAGGTGGTTACTGTTAGGTTAACAGGTGCAAGAGTTTTAAGTAAACATACCCAGTTTCCACTGTGTTAGGATCAAATCCAGGTCCTTCAGATGTAAGCTAAAGGCTCAGTGGGTAAAAATACATGGATGTTTTTACAGACATCCATTTTAAATTTCTACAGTGACTATTATGCACAAGACTATCATAGGTACACAAAAGTGATAGCCTATAAAGATTTAACTTAATAAGCAATGAAGCCAAAAATCCTTTTTTTTTTTTTTTCATTGGGGTTACCTATATATCTCTATAGCAACATTGATATTAATGAAACCTTTGTAAACAAAATTTAGGCAACCAGTGTAAAATACCATGCCTATATAAAAAATAAGTTGCACAATTATCCAGAATTCTTTCTATAGTAATGCTATAAATTATTACATATACGTACAGTATTGTGTAATCTCACAAACATGTAAGATGACAGGTATATACGGTATATCTTGCTAATACAATAATACTGCTTACACTTAGTTCACAATACACATGCAGTTGTTCATGTACAGTGGAACCTCAGTACTCAAACAGCTCCATACTCAAACAATTCGGTATTCAAACGCTTTGTTCGGTAAACAAATCGCTTGGTAGTCAACCATTTGTTTGGCACTCAATCAAACAAAACACAACCTGCCAGAACTTCGCTGTAAACTATTTTGTGTTTCTTCGCATTTTTGGTGTGTTTTTATATTACCTGTATAAATAAGTCACCATGGGCCTAAGAGGGTTAGTGATAACATCTAACCAAAAAGAAAATTGAACAGATTGGCACTCAAACAGCTTTCCGGAACCAATTTAGTTTGAGTGCCGAGGTTCCACTGTACATTTGTACACACACACACACACACACACACACACACACACACACACACACACACACACACACACACACACACACACATAGTGAAGAGGTGGGGCCAGGAGCTTGGACTCGACCCCTGCAACCTCAACTAGGTGAGTACACACACACCACACACACACACACACCACACACACACACACACACCACACACACACACACACACACACACCACACTCACACACAACACACACACACACACACACACTTTCCTAAGTTTCTTCTAATTTCTTAATAGTTCTTGTTCTTACAGTTTCCTTTCATTTCACTGGGGAAGTGGAGAAGAATCTTTTCTCTGCAAGTCATGCATATTGTAAAAGGCAACTGAAATGCCAGAGCGAGGGGATATTAACAGCTTCTGCTGTATAAATTACTGAATCAAAGAACATGTTAATAATTAACTTATAACAAAAAAATGAGATGTATAGAGGCAAGGAAATTAGTGAGCTACTCAAGTCCTAATATGACTTGGTTTTTAGCGAGCTGCTAACCAGACTGAGAATCAAAGGCCTAAATGAATTTTTTATGAGAGAATTTGGTAGACTCAAACCTACACGATATTATCCTGATGCCAAATGACTTCAACAAAGCGATAAATGACATGCCCATGCACACTGCCCCAGGCCCAGACTCGTGGAACTCCACGTTCATGAAGAACTGCAAGCAGCCCCTATCATGTGCTTTTAACATCCTATGGAGAGGGAGCATGGACACAGGTCATCCCACAGCTGCTAAAAACAACACACATAGCCCCACTCCACAAAAGAGGCAGTAAAGCAACAGCAAAGAACTACAGACTGATAGCGCTAATGTCCCATATCATAAAAATCTTTGAAAGGGTTCTAAGAAGCAAGATCACCACCCACCCATCTAAATGCCCATCAATTACATAACCTAGAGCAACATGGGTTCAGAGCAGGTCGCTCCTGTCTGTCCCAACTACTGGACAAGGTCCTGGATGTTCTAGAAGATAAACAAAATGCAGATGTGGTACACAGGAGGCCCTCCACTTTCGCGAGTTCCACTTTCGCGAGCTTCAAACATTCACGAATGCCCAGCCACCCAGATTTCATGTGTTTTCATGTGTTTTATGATTGTTCGTGGTTCAATAGGTTAAGGAAGCAGTATTGTTAAGCTAAGTATATGCTATTATTGGATTTCCCTACAATATACATATTTACGCATGAAAACATTCGCAAACGCTACAGTACAGTATTATTATATTTCCCTACATCATATTTGCGCACCAAACATTCGCAAATTTTCAACATTCATGAGGTTCTTGAGCCCCCAGCCCTTGCAAATGTGGAGGGCCTCCTTTACACAGACTTTGACAGCCTTTGACAAGTGTGACCATGGTGTAGTAGCGCACAAAATGTGTGATAAAGGAACAACAGGAAAAGTTGGTACGTAGATGGATCTATAATTTCCTAACAAATAGAACACAAAGAGTAGTAGTAAACAGAGTAAAGTCTGCGGTAGCTACGGTGAAAAGTTCTGTTCCACAAGGCACAGTACCTGCTCCCATCCTGTTCCTCATCCTCATATCTGATATAGATAGGGATGTAAACCACAGCACCATGTCTTCCTTTACAGATGACACCTGAATTTGCATGACAGTGTCCTCCACTGAAGACACTGCAAGACTCCAGGCAGACATCAACCAAATCTTTAAATGGGCCTCCCAGCATACATAAGGGAGATTACGAATAGACCCCTGGCTGTCTCCAATAAGGCACTGGACAGGCATCTCAAGTCAGTACCTGACCAGCCTGGTTGTGGTTCGTATGTCAGGCTGCATGTGGCCAACAGTAACAGCCTGGTTGATCAGGCCCTGATCCACCATGAGGCCTGGTCACAGACTGGGCCATGGGGGAATTGACCCCCAAAACCCTCTCCAGGTATACTCCAGATATACTTCATAGATTAGTGGTAGACCATTCAGCTCACAGTTGAAAGGACTTGGGTTCAATTCCTGCTGAGCAATTATAATTTCCACAGAGAAGTGCTAGACCATTAGAGGTTGTACAGATCAGCAGGACAAGACATGGGAAAGTCTTTGTACTTACAGCCTATGCTGTGTGACCCATACATTTTGGCACTTGCTTTTTATTATTCATAAATAATAATAATATTATTTTTATTACATTCATGGAAGGTGTTAAATCAATAATAATAATACGTATTATACTTGCTACCTAGCAATAAGCTTTTATTTAGGCTTCATACACATTAAAATTTGTTAGAATGATCCTATAAAGAACATTATGTAGAATTTAACCCAGGAAAACAAACTCCTAAGGTTATATGTACTTCAACTTTATATATCTTTGGTAAGGCAGCTTTATTTAGATTGCACTTGTCAATTCTGGTCTCTGTATTACAGAAGGACATCATTGCTCTGGAAAATATTGAGAAGGGTAACAAAGTTGAGTCCATGTATCAGAAACCTTTCTTACAAAGATAGGCTACAGCAGAAATACAGAAATAATAATATCTTAATTTCTATATATACAAGGTATACAGGCCTAGCTGACATCAGTGACATGCTACTATGGAGAAAGCCACTTGTTATGCAGAGCATTTCAGTCAATTTAGGCCAATTTTGTCCCAGGATGCAACCCACACCAGTCAACGAACACCCATGTACCCACTTTATTGATGGATGAACACAGGCAACCGGTGTAAGTAAACCCGCCCTGGAAATGAACCCGGACCCTCACTGTGTGAAGCAAAAGCTTTTGCCACCAGGCCACGGGGCACCGTAAAACAAAGAATTTGGGGAAAATATGATTGAAGTGTACAAATGGAAAATAGGAATAAAGGGATATAAATATTGTACTGAAAGTATCTAACTCGGACAGGACTTATAGCAATGAGTTCAAGTCAAACAAATTTAAGATTTAGAATACATATAGATAAGTGCAGGTTTGTTAATAGACTTGTAGAAGTAGAATAAAACCCCTAAGTAGAATTACTGAGGCAAGAACCTTGATCACTTTTAAATATAGACTGGATGGGTATATGAGTGGGTGTGACTGAGAGTTGAACCTGCCTAGCATGGGCTAATAGGCCTATTGCAATATTCCTTCATTTTTACATTCTTATAACCCAATAGTCAAAGGATGTCACTTTGACTCTTTTAGGTTATCCTAGGTAATCTACACTATGTATGATAATTGTACTTATGTGTACCTGTGCCTAAATAAACTTACTTATACCTAGGAGTTAATAGAGTGCTGTACGTCCTGTTCTGGGGAGGACAAAAGGATCCCAGAGGAAGCCACAATGGTTAACTAACCCAGAGGAAGCCCCAATGGTTAACTAACCCAAAGGAAGCCCCAATGGTTAACTAACCCAAAGGAAGCCACAATGGTTAACTAACCCAGAGGAAGTAACAATGGTTAACTAACCCAGAGGAAGCCCCAATGGTTAACTAACCCAGAGGAAGCCCCAATGGTTAACTAACCCAGAGGAAGCCACAATGGTTAACTAACCCAAAGGAAGCCACAATGGTTAACTAACCCAGAGGAAGCCCCAATGGTTAACTAACCCAGAGGAAGCCCCAATGGTTAACTAACCCAGAGGAAGTCACAATGGTTAACTAACCCAGAGGAAGTCACAATGGTTAACTAACCCAGAGGAAGCCACAATGGTTAACCCAGAGAAAGCCACAATGGTTAACTAACCCAGAGGAAGCCACAATGGTTAACTAACCCAGATGAAGCCACAATGGTTAACTAAACCAGAGGAAGTCACAATGGTTAACCCAGAGGAAGCAACAATGGTTAACTAACCCAGAGGAAGCCACAATGGTTAACTAACCCAGATGAAGCCACAATGGTTAACTAAACCAGAGGAAGTCACAATGGTTAACCCAGAGGAAGCAACAATGGTTAACTAACCCAGAGGAAGCCACAATGGTTAACTAACCCAGATGAAGCCACAATGGTTAACTAAACCAGAGGAAGTCACAATGGTTAACCCAGAGGAAGCAACAATGGTTAACTAACCCAGAGGAAGCCACAATGGTTAACTAACCCAGATGAAGCCACAATGGTTAACTAAACCAGAGGAAGTCACAATGGTTAACCCAGAGGAAGCAACAATGGTTAACTAACCCGGAGGAAGCCACAATGGTTAACTAACCTAGAATACTCTAATAAGTTTTATAGTACTGTACAGTGATGAATGAGCAGCACATGTATCTATAAATATAATAAAATGAATCAGCTCTTGGAAAAAAAAATAATCATGCAGATAACACTTGTCAACACCGTCCGCCATGATGACGCCGTCCTGTTGCCATGGAAACTTATAATTAACCTGCCTTATCCATTTATTCTATACATATTAAACATTCTTATATGGTATTTCATTTTTGTTATTTAATTATGGAATGTGTATTAATATAGGTTGATTCGCATGCCAACTGTTTATAATAATCAACATTTTTTCCCTAAATTAGCAGTTTAATTTTCATTTTTAGTAGAAAGATAAATTTTTCAGTACTGCTGTTATATAGTATATCAATTAATGGGTAGTTAAATTAAAAATTATGTTATTTTTATCCATCTCTTGCCACCCTGTAGTTGCAGTGATCAAACTTATGATATATTGAATGTTCACCACAGCTAATACTCTTAAAAAATGTATAATGGAACATTATGCTTGCAGCTAGCATCTTAGTATGTCCCTTCATGTACATCTAACATTATGTTACAACAACGAAAAATGTCATTATACAGTTGAGATAAAGTACTGTATTACACTAGCTTTATAGTATTTACCTGGAGTTTACCTGGAGAGAGTTCCGGGGGTCAACGCCCCCGCGGCCCGGTCTGTGACCAGGCCTCCTGGTGGATCAGAGCCTGATCAACCAGGCTGTTGCTGCTGGCTGCACGCAAACCAACGTACGAGCCACAGCCCGGCTGGTCAGGAACCGACTTTAGGTGCTTGTCCAGTGCCAGCTTGAAGACTGCCAGGGGTCTGTTGGTAATCCCCCTTATGTATGCTGGGAGGCAGTTGAACAGTCTCGGGCCCTTTACACTTATTGTATGGTCTCATAACGTGCTAGTGACACCCCTGCTTTTCATTGGGGGATGTTGCATCGTCTGCCAAGTCTTTTGCTTTCGTAGTGAGTGATTTTCGTGTGCAAGTTCGGTACTAGTCCCTCTAGGATTTTCCAGGTGTATATAATCATGTATCTCTCCCGCCTGCGTTCCAGGGAATACAGGTTCAGGAACCTCAAGCGCTCCCAGTAATTGAGGTGTTTTATCTCCGTTATGCGCGCCGTGAAAGTTCTCTGTACATTTTCTAGGTCAGCAATTTCACCTGCCTTGAAAGGTGCTGTTAGTGTGCAGCAATATTCCAGCCTAGATAGAACAAGTGACCTGAAGAGTGTCATCATGGGCTTGGCCTCCCTAGTTTTGAAGGTTCTCATTATCCATCCTGTCATTTTTCTAGCAGATGCGATTGATACAATATTATGGTCCTTGAAGGTGAGATCCTCCGACATGATCACTCCCAGGTCTTTGACGTTGGTGTTTCGCTCTATTCTGTGGCCAGAATTTGTTTTGTACTCTGATGAAGATTTAATTTCCTCGTGTTTACCATATCTGAGTAATTGAAATTTCTCATCGTTGAACTTCATATTGCTGTTGTTCCTGCTGTTGCTACTACTGTTGTTGCTTCTGCTGTTACTGCTGTTGTTCCTGCTATAATATATTAAATTTTGAGAAAATATATTACAAAGTGAGGTGATTTCATTGCTTAATGCTTATACACCTACATCTTGCTACCTAGCCTTAAATATTTTATTAATTTACTACAAATATCGGGTCTCTTTTAACTATATTTGGAGGTCACCATATAATTAACACCTTCCTTAGTTGTTCTTTTCCTGACAAATAAATTAACAAGATAAGCTGATTCTACATATACATAATTTATTCCTAAAATGTTCAATATTGTTTTTGGTTTTGTCATGGACATTGTTTTATGTTGTGCAGATTAACATAAGGAACGTAAACTAAACTAACGAAACCCAACCTAAAATGCAATAAATGACATGCCCAATCACTCTGCCCCAGGCCAAGACTCATGGAACTCCGTGTTCATCAAGAACTGCAAGAAGCTCCTGTCACGTGCCTTCAGCATTCCATGGAGAAGGAGCATGGACACAGAGATCATCCCACACTCACTAAAAACAGCAGACATAGCCCCACTCTACAATGGTGGCAGTACAGCAATTACAAAGAACTACAGACTGATATCACTAACATCCCATATCATAAAAATCTTTGAAAAGGTTCCAAGAAGTAAGATCGCCAACCACCTACATACCCATCAGTTATACAACCCAAGGCAACACGAGTTTAGAGCATGTCGCTCCTGCCTGACCTAGCTACTGGACTATGATAAGGTCCTGGATGCTGTAGAGCATAAACATAATACAGATGTTGTATAGACAGACTTTGCAAAAGCCTTTGACAAGTGTGACCATGGTGTAATAGCACACAAAATGCGTGATAGAGGAGTGACAGGAAAAGTTGGTAGATGGATCTATAATTTCCTGACAAATAGAACTCAAAGAGTAATAGTGAACAGAGTCAAGTCCGAGGCAGCTAGGGTGAAAAGCTCTGTTCCACAGGGCACAGTACTAGCTCCCATCCTATTCCTCATCCTCATATCTGACATAGACAAAGATGTAAGCCATAGCTCCGTATCTTCCTTTGCGGATGACACCCGAATTACCATGACAGTGACCTCCATCAAAGACACCACAAGACTCCAAGCAGACATCAACCAAATCTTCTAATGGGCCACTCAGAACAATATGATGTTCTGTGGAAAATACTGTATATATTTTCCAGAAATACAGTAGTTGTATGTATATAGATGGCCATACTGTATTTAATACAAATTATGTTATCGAAAATGGGAAACCCTGCGCCTGCGCAGAAGGGACTCTCCATTATGTTTTGAATTTGGATTAGAAACGTTAGTGTAATGGGAAGAATTTTTCGTGCTCTAGAGGTTAAAATTGGGCTGACACCTCTCAAATAGGAGACGAAATTGTTGGATGTGCATTCCTGCATAACTTGAGATATCAGGCGACTGGACAAGACAGCTCCAAGAACTTCAGATAAGTCTTATGTTGTAACTCTGGCCAGTGTTATTTTCATAGATAGACAGAGGTTTTCTGAGTATGATACACCTTGATCTCCAGTCAAATTGGTGAGTGATTTTAAGATATTCTCCTTCTGTTATATAATTGTGTATATATAAAATCATTTATTATTTTTAATATACAGTCCACAAATTTATATATTTACCAGCATTCCTGGCGATACATATTTTATTTGTAATTAATGGGTCCAGAGCAACTTGTGGATATAACAGTGGTAGGTATCGAAGGGGGACATTTTTTGCCACCTAGGTGTCCCAAATTCCTACTTGTCTAACTGATAAATAATAATTATCTTTGTTCATTTACTGTTATGTACATAATGATACATTCAGATAAATATAATTTTCCACAAGTTCAATGAAGAGAAATTTCAACTACTCAGATATGGAAAACTTGAGGAAATTAAAACTGTATCAGGGTATACAACAAATTCTAACCAGACAATAGAGCGAAAAAGTAATGTGAAGGACCTGGGAGTGATAATGTCAGAGATCTCGCCTTTAAAGACCACAACAATGTATCTACCGCATCTGCTAGGAAAATGATTGGATGGATAATGAGAACCTTCAAAACCAGGGATGCCAAGCCCATGATGATTCTCTTCAAAATCACTTGCTCTCTCTAGGCTTTAATACTGCTGTACATTAACTGTCCCCTTCAAGGCAGGCGAAATTGCTGACCTGGAGAGTGCACAAAGAACTTTCACGCACACATAAGTATGACAAGGCACTTAAATTACTGGAACAGTTGAAGTCGCTTGATTTGTATTCCCTGGAATGCAGGCGAGAGAGATACATGACAATATACACTTGGAAAATCCTAGAGAGATTAGTACCCAACTTGAGCACGAAAATCACTCCCTATGAAAGCAACAGACTCGGCAGGCGATGCAACATTCTCCCACTGAAAAGCAGGGGCGCCACGAGTTCACTGAAAGACAACACAATAAGTGTCCAGGGCCCAAGACTGTTCAACTGCCTCCCAGCATACATAAGGGGAATTACCAATAGACCCCTGTCTTCAAGAAGGCACTGGACAGGCACCTAAAGTCAGGACCTGACCAGCCAGGCTGTGGTTCATACGTCAGTTTTCGTGCGGCCAGCAGTAACAGTCTGGTTGATCAGACCCTGATTCACCACGAGGTCTGGCCTCAGAGCCGGGGGGCGTTGACCCTCGAAACCCTCTCCAGGTAACGTATACCTGGATGGTATTCCGGGGGTCAACGCCCCCGCGGCCCGGTCTATGATCAGGCTTCATGGTGGATCAGGGCCCGATCAACCAGGCTGTTACTCCGCCAGCGGTAGATATGGGACTAGAGAGTGCTTACAGTTAGTTTAATAGTTTTATTATGCACCCCATACACATCTTGTGGGCGGTAGTCAAAAAATTAGAGGTACATAATGGGTCCAGGGACTGAATCCTAAAGTTTTGATAGGTGACCAAGTTACAAAAGTAATGAACTCCAAGTAGATCTGGTCATTTACATTATTATTTTTTTTTTATTTATTTAAAACCATACAAATAGACAATAGACAAAAGGAAAAACGTTACATTTGATATTGAAACAATAACAAATAACATAACAATATAACAAATATGTACCACTATAACCTACTATAAAATCAGATACCGAAGCTTAAAACTGTCCTATACTAGATACATGTGGATAAGTTAACTTTCGTAAAAACATGCAAACCTATATTAACTCTTCCTCAAATTAATCATCCTTGCTCTTAATTTACACTAGAATAATAAAATACAAGTATACTTTCATTATTTCGTTACAGACTAAATTCTTTCTGCTCTGAACACGGAAAGAAATATGGATAATAATTGAACCAATGATGTCAAGAACACATCCAAGCGAAACCTACACCGACCATAC